GTCCCCTGCCCTCACAGCCGGACCAAGCACCATCTAGATCATCCCTGACAGGTGTCTGTCTAACCTGCTCTTCAATATCTCCAGGGATGGAGATTCCACAACCTCCCTGGGCAATTGATTCCAGTGTTTAACCACCCTGACAAGAAGTTTTCCCTAATGTCCAACCTAAACCTCCCTTGCTGAAATTTAAGCCCCTTGCTTCTCATTCTATCCTCCGAGGCCAAGGAGAACAATTCCCCCCCCAACACCCTTTTAGATACCTGAAAACTGCTCTCATGTCCCCTCTCAGTCTTCTCTTTTCCTAACTAAACAATTCCAATTCTTTCAGCCTTCCCTCATGTTTTCTAGACCTTTACTCATTTTTGTTGCTTTTTTCTGGACCTTCTCCAGTTTCTCCACATCTTTCCTGAAATGTGCTGCCCAGAACTGGACACAATGCTCCAATTGAGGGCTAATCAGTGCAGAGCAGAGCGGAAGAATGACTCCTCGGGTCTTGCTCACCACACTCCTGTTAATTCAGCCCAGAATCATGGTTGCTTTTTTTGTAACAGACTCACGCTGTTGACTCATATTTAGCTTGTGGTCCACTCTGACCCCTAGATCCCTTTCTGCAGCACTCCTTCCTAGGCAGTCGCTTCCTATTCTGTGCGTGTGAATTGGATGGTTTATTAGAAACTGCCCCCCGCCCCGCACCCTCCATTTTACTGGCAAACAGTTTGCTCTACAGATCACTGACACAACAAACATGGAGCCCGACCATGCTCTTTGCAAAGTCACTTTTCGGAACAGAGCTACACTTTAAACTGCAGCTCTATCCCAGGCTACACGGCCATGTAATCAAGGTGACATGAAGAACTGTAACACCGGCTACACCTAGGACAGAAAGACGCACCCATCTCGTCAAGTACAGGTAGGAAAAAGGCTCAGGTTAGGAACACAAAGGCCAAACCAGATGAATGAGCTCTCCCAATCTGGCATCGGGTGCTTTTAGCAGTGTACCTCTAGGGTAGAAATGACCAGTCGCTCTCATTTCTCCCAGTTATCACCATCTTGTGCTTAACTTGCATTTGGGCGTGAGATCAGTGAACCAGGTGTGAAACTAAGGGTATGCCTACCCACTGCAGCTTTTAGCGATGAGGCTGTGTCAACACAGCCCTGCTGCGAACAGTCAGCATGTGTGAACGCTGTTTGTCCGCACTTTGGTGGGCCAGTTACTTCCATCCGAACAAGGGGGTTTCGCTCTGTCGGCACCAGAGTGCTCCTGCCGACAAAGCAGTGTTCGTACTTTGGCTCGTCAGCTTCTCCCCGGGGCTGGCTTGAGGACAGGGAGGGCTTCATTGGCCATCTCCCAGCTTCTCCCCACAACCCCGGGGAGAAGCTACCAGCCACCTCCTAAGGACCCCTCCTCTGAGCCCCCACACACCTCCCAACTCCCTACCCTGACTCTCCACCCCCTGCTCTGACTCCTGCACCCACCTACCCTTGCTCAGAGCCCCTCTTCAACCCCCGATCCTGACACCTGCATTCCTCCCCCCCAAAACTCAGCCCTAAAGGAGCCGAGCAATGCCAGGTAAATCTTGTATTTAAATAAGGTACGATATTGAGTGAGTAATCAACTACATTTCCTGCTTGTCTGCTCTGACTGCAATTTTAAAAATGACGATAATTATTAAATTATGAAATACGACAGTGCTGGAAAGTCTGCTGCATTGTGATTTTCAGTGCCTGTCTGTGTGTACTGCTGTACTCTTTTCACAGCTGGAAAACAGTTCCAGCTTCTTTGGTTCTTACACAGTGAGACCCAATACCCAGCTCTGGAGAAGTTAGCACAGGGACAGGTTGACCTTGCTAACTGAAAGCTGAGTGAAGGACCCTGCACCCTCGTCTAGGAGCAGACGAGTTACGTTTGACGGGGAGGTAACAGATGCCAACGGGGTGAGTTACGGCGCAGGAGTCAGGACGAGGAAGTGCCTCTCACAGCTGATCCAACTCACAGTGCAGCCCCCCAAAGCCGTTCACTGCCCATTCCTTATGAGAGCCCTCCCCATCCACCCACACTTCTCTGGTCACGGCTACCTGACCAGCTCCGACGCTGTACTGATCTTGACTGCAGTCGCTTCTAGACTGAGAGTTGTAAGCCTCTATATCTGTAATCCAGTCATGCCAAACAACCCCCCTTCTTAGCCATACATCAGTCACAGCTGTCCACGCCAGCTCCTCCTAATTCCACCCGTCACCGCGGCACAACTAGCCAGTCACTTCCAAGTGAACCCCCTCACCAAGATACACCCCCTGGATCTCCCCTCTCACTGTGAACCCTTTCCACCCCCAATTCTTCTGACCAGACTTCCTGCTCAGAACAAGACATCAGACCACACTAGGCAGGAGGCACGGTCCCTAAACAGCAATGACACCCTCTAATCAAGTTCTCTTTCCTCCCAAAGGTTTAAGGAGTCTAGACCAGGAAATACCCTCTTCTACACTTTGCTACAGTCAGACAAGTATCACCATTATACCAGACAGATCCATTTTATGATCCCCATTTCAGTATTGCCTTATTCTTAGAACCTGCTTTTCATATGGAGCTGCAAATACAAAATGCTTAGTTTGTATTCCTTGCCAATCCCAAGAGGAAACTTTGCATGCATCTCCACAGCAGTAATAGCACAGATAAACGGCCCTTCAGTTTGAATTCAACATGAAGAGGATCCTTTCCCAATACTATTTTGGCTCAGTCCCTGGTAAAGGTGACCTGAAGAAATAAGCAGGACAATTAGACTTGTGCCCTATTTTATTCTGCTTGCTTACTCCTTTTAAAAATATCAAGTGACAAGTCTCATCTTTCCTGGTTTTGCTAAAGAGGGTTTTGCTCAGTTCGCATTTTGTTTATTTCTCAGCTCTTAGCTGAAATGGGTGAATGTGGAGGATCTTTAACAAAAGCATCTTCCTTCTCGCTTGTTTCTCAGGCACTTGGGAATTTTTATTTGTTGTTTTGCTTGCCATTGATTTTACTTTACAGAGTTTTAAGAAACTTGAATACAAATGACTTTCCCTCTCCACTAAACAGATTTTACATCGCTGATGTCACAATCCTTGCTGGTATCCAGTGCTTTGTGTACACCAAGAATCTGAGGGAATTCTTCCACTGGCTTCGCTCTGGCATGGTAGCACAGACTGGCCACAGGTGTTTTTGCCACTCTCGCACTAGACAAACTCAGAAAAGGGCTAGAGGAAACAGTGGTGAAAACAACAGGAAACTAACATTAGCACTTGCTGGACAGCCAGTATGGCAACAGTGGGAGAATTCCCTAAAATTCTCCGTGTACATAAATCCCGTCTAAAGACTATTGGGGGGGAAAAAAAACCAAAACACATGGGATTTTTGGAAAAACAACCTTTCAGACCTTTGTGCATCACAGCGATTTAGTCACACAAGTGAAACGACCCCAGATCCCCTCCTTCCAAGCCCCCACTTTGGAAATCTCGTTAATTCAAGCATTAGGTGTTGAAATTTTAAATAAAAGCATTTCAGATTTTACTTACAGAAGTCCAAAGCCCTCTTGTTAGTTAGCTAGCTCACTAAAAGGGATGAATACTGTCACACTGTCTGAGCTAAATCAGTTTTAAGCACCATATTTTGTAAAAGAAAGCATATTCGACATATATTTTACAGAATGTGTTAATCTCACTCAGATACATATTTATGACTGAGATAGACACATCTCTGAAATATAAAGGACCGATCAGATACCAGTGTGGTTATTTTATTTGGTCCCCAAGAACTTTTAAAGCATGAAGTATAGCAAACAATAGCTGAAAGTGATCCAGTGACTGTTGATTTCAAACTATTATGGGGGCTCGCAAACATTTCTGATGGTCAAAACTCCTGACATTATCATGTCATACAATTTACAGCTAAATCTACTGTGATTATAAGCAAAATTTGAATTGGATAAAAGGAAATACAGTATTTCAATGCTACTTCTATGTATACATACACACTGTACTTGTGTGAATGAGTCATCTTGGAAAGGACACATTGGCATACAACGTACATTGAAGCTTCAGCAAAACCACATGATCATTAATCTTCTCCATGGGATTTTGCATAAATCTGACAATTTCTGCTTCCACCAGTAACGCTTACTTACTAGACCCCGGACTGGATTTACAGCTACCCCCCAACAAGTGTCTATGCATCACAACACACCATGTTGTCCTAATTGTCTAGCAGACTCTGAATTTTTGCTATTTCACATTGGGTTTTCCAGCAACCCACTGTAGCTTTCCCCCCCCTCCCTCTCTCTCTCTTTAAAACCATCGGTAAAGTTTAACAGCTCGGGACAGCATCTATACTGCACAAGCCACACAAAGCAAATGACAACGTTTGAAGGTTCTTGCCAAATGAAATCAGGTCAGTGTGTGTCTCTCTCACACACACAGCGATGCAAAGAATGTTCAGAAATAGAACAAAGACCCTTTGTTATTGTGCCACAGGGTTTTGTAAATCTCCTCCTTTATCTTGTGCTGAACTCTTCAGTCAGCATTAGAACATGGATCTAGTAGAAAAGGAACACGACTTAAAATAGATTCTGCCAGCATTCTGGGAGCTTGCGCTTTTTCACACTCGCTCATTCAGAGCTCTATTTTAGAAAGATCTTCTCAATGTTAAAAAAAAACACCCCACATTTTAAAAATATGGATCAAAGGACTAATATGATTTCAGCGTATTTCAGCATTAACATATGAAAGTTAAAAGGCAGCGTGCTCTCTCTCTCAGAAAGGATTAATGCCGTCAGGAGAGAACGCTAGCACAAATTGGAGAGGATTTTAAAACCACCCGAGTTCATTATTAGACTGGAACAAGGTAGCACACAGAAAGGGATTGTTGGCACAGCTCGCTAATGAGGAGCCTCGTCAGCAGGCCATCTTGATAGACATATGCAACCCCTACAGTGAACCATAAACCAAGGTATTCTGCTGACATGGCATTCTCCTACCTGTAGCTTCATTTTCCAGCACGAATGCATGTGTGTATCCTTCATGTGGCTTCCCCTTCTTGCATGTCTCCTGTTATCCAGACTAAAGAGACCGAGCTGTGCAGACACAGCTGCTGACTGCCCTACATTTGCCTGCAGATGAAGAGAAAGAGTTGGTACTGCACTTGTCCGGGCTTGTATAAGCCCCCTAAGTAGAATACTCCTATAGCTCAAACTGGACGAACTACTTCCTCCAGCTGATTCCCAGGACAGAGCTTGTGAATAAATAATGAAAGAGAACTCCCATGAACATGCTTCATTCCTTCCAGCAGCTGATTTCCACCTCCTCCTCCAAAACCAGCAGTTCGTGGTGTAAGAATCTTTAGCAATCCGTGTGAGGTGAATCATACAAAATCTCCCAGAGTCCATGAAATGAAAGTAACTAACATAGAGGAAAGAATGCACCAAAGGAGCAAGGCTGTTTGTTTTAAAATGGGGTTTTCAGATGTCCAGCTCCGCAAAGATACCGACAGAAGAGATCCTGTTTAGCACTGAGTCATACGTGCAGGTGATACAGTCCTAGTAAAAGTGTACAGTGGTTCTGCAGCTGATGTGGCTTCCACAAGTAAATACAAAACCAAGATCTCAGCACGGATGACGGAGGTAAATGACATGGGTTAGGAAAACACAGCCCCTGGGCTGCATCTGGCCCACCACATATTTGAATCCCGCACACCGCAGTCTAGAAGGACCCTCAGGCTGTCTCCCCGCCTGTCGCTGTGCCAAATGCTGCTCAAAGTGTCCAGCTGCTTTGATGAGAAAAGAGGAATGAGGAAACGTATTCTCTGGCCGGCATGTTAACTGGTCATTTTTAAAGCTGGGACAGATTGTTTAGAAGAATTTGGGGGAGGAGGAAGAGCTGCCCGGCCCTCTCCCCGACAATGAGGACCACCCAATCACGTTTACATGTGTCTCCTCTGGGCACAAGGTTCAGATGTCTTGGCCTAACTTTGAGAGCTACACAACACAGTACCGCTTGTTTCAGAAAGGTGGAAACGCAACGGAATGTGACGCTGTAAGGCTCCTCTTCACGAGCACGTTTAGCATGGCGGCATGTGCAACAGTATCTACTGTTATCTGCACTATTGCAAATCTGCTGCTGCCAATGACGTTGCTCTTGGTTGTCAGTTATGCTACAAACAATTTGGTCTCTCATTAAGCCATCTGTTCGCTGTTCAAAGTCACACGACTTAGCTTCACCAAGCAGGTCTGTACACAAAAGTCCACGTTCTCACCTGGCAAGTCGTTTCTCGTGCAGGAAAGGTGATTGTAGCACGATGATTTATCTTGGCGATAGTACCTAGGTGCCACAATTATGGATCAGGGCTTTACTGTACTAGGTACTGAACAAACAGAACAAAAAGATGGCCCAGGCCACAAAGAGCTATCCATCGAATACGACAGAGCACGGGAAACCAGTATGAAAGTATCGGGCTGTGCAATAAGCAGCAGACGTTGCCTACCTGCTGTCCACTTTGAAGGCCTCCCAGCATGGTACGTTTTTGTCTGGATCACGGAAGCCTTGGAATTTTGGAATGACTTGTGCTAGGCCATGTCGTGCTTCGATGGGAATAGCACCCGAGGGGCTCTGCACCTGCCATATGTAGCAGCGTGGGAGGATTTCGCTCGCTCCAGTTTCTCTTCATGACCCCATGCTTCCAGGAAGGTCTGAAACTGCAGCAGCACCTGCATTCCACCCCCAGCTCTCTCCCAAGTTCGCTCCTCAACGGAAGGGATCCAGTTCTGGTCAAAGAGTTTATATAAAATTGGATTGCCTCTCCTGATGGGTCACTCTGCTTTCAGAAAAATGGCAAGTATCACAAGACTCACAAAAACCCCTGTGAAAAGATGCAAACATTTGCAAACACAACTGTGGGAACTACATGCAAATTAGATGTGCGGTTGCATGCACTTTTTTGCATAAAACCCTAGAGTTCTTCACTTTTAAAAATCTGGCCCTGTTTTTTCCTCCACCCCTCTCTTGCTATTCCTATTTTACTAACAGGAACACCAAAGCCAAGGAGCTGCCCCGGCGCAGCTGTGCTGTTGTAACTCTCGAGTACAGCTACTTTAACCTGAAGGAAGAGCTCTCTCACCAGCTAGATTAATGCACCCCTGAGAAATGATAGCAGCTATGGCAGGAGGAGAAACATTGGCGCTTAGATCGGTGTAACTCTGGTTGTTCCAGGATCAGGGGATGGGTTTATCACACTCCTGAGCAACACAAATTACACCAAATGAGTGACAGTACAGACACTGCCTTAGGTTATGTCACAGCTACAGGGTGGATTGATGCTGCGAACAATCCATTGGGGGTTGATTTAGCGGGTCTAGTGAAGACCTACTAAATCAACTACCAATCACTCATTCCCTTGATGACGCTGGTGCTCCACTGGAACAAGATGAGTAAAGGGAGTCGATGGGAGAGTTTCTTCTGTTGACCAAGCATGGTGCAGACCCTGTGGTAAGTAGTTTGACCTACATCTGAGTAGAGTTAGTAGCGTAACTCAAATTGCGTAGCTCAGATCGATCTGTCCCCATAGTGTAGACCTGTCCTTAGACGCTAGAGGGAAAAGATCTGGGACCAACAAGAGCTGTTTAATCTAAGTCAAAGAGTGCCCCATTGATCCATTCTTTCCCAAAGGTATGCCACTTTCTTCCACATTATATATAGTGCAAAAGGAGTTTATATAGTACAGGGTGTCCCCCCATAAGTCGCGTTGGTATACATCTATTTTGGGTTAAAGCTGTTGATGCTTGTAGGAACTGATGCGTTATAAGTCCTCCCATTCCCTGTTCTGAAGTCTCTCTCTCTCTCTCTCTCTCTCACACACACACACACACACACACACAGAATGCATCTTGGACTTCAAGTGAGAACTGCCTGTATATATGTTTGGGGACGTTACTATAGCGAGGGCCATTTCAGTAGGGGGTTACTGCCCAAAATACATTTAGATTATTTTCAAGATATTGCAATATCTGAAATGTGGTGTTCAATGTTTTCTAAGAAACAAGGCAACTTACACACCTTCTACATACCATAATTCTGCCCCCAGTTATTCCTGTGCAACTCCCTTCTCTTCAACTTGGCCCTGCAATTGGAAATTTATTAACAGGTCTGTTGATAATGCTTGAGCAAGAATCAAATCCAGCTCCTTCTCCCAGAACTGTTTTGGCTTCGCAGAGCTAACAGAAGTGACAAGAACTATACAAACTTGTTTGCTAGAATGCAGAGCTGAGAATTAATGCACAGGGGGAAAGATCTGTTGATTAAGGTGCTATTTTATATTGTTTCCTTAGATCTTTATTGGGAAAGCTGTTATCTCGCTTTGGATACATCAGTATTTCAGGTCAAAGTCGGGGTGGGGGTGTCTATTTTTCCTTCTGAATGTACACGTCTATTCGTAAGTTTCGTGCACCTGCATTTAATTGACCCTGAAGCAAGAGAAACAAAGGGTCCTATTACTAGTCCTCGATCTAGTATTACTGGGCTTCTGCCTGCCCAAGGATGATAGCATCTGGCCCATTATGTACTAGAACTGGCATGCAACTCTTCCATGCAAGACACATCAGAACACATTGATGCAAGCATGGGAGTAATTAAATGTTGGTCATAGGGCAGATCAACTAAAAACATGACTAATGAGAGTTTACAGTATATTTTTCCCCCCATAGAAAGGAACCTCCAAGAAGATTTCATGAGTAATGCAAGCAATATTTTTTCAAAGAGAGGCCCATTTATGTCTGAAGGATTCCTTTAAATCGGTGGTCAGATGCACCTAGAGAGGAAATAAAGAAAAAGCAACCCCAAAATTTTGGGACCACTGCTTTAAATTACCCCAGGATTTCCAAGTCTCAATATTTTGCCTTTTTCTTAAAACCCCAGTACCTGAGCCAAATGATTAACTTAAGAATCTCGACTTTCTTAAAAGAAAGAAAGTTTATGGCTCTCATAGTTGCAGAGTTTCAGGAAATCCAACCCCAGCCCTTGGAAACATAAATGCTAGTGTGTCTAAAACCAGAAATTAAATACAGAGAACCCCAAAGTTATCACTTTAAAAAGATCTCGGGATTTTAAGTCCATCTCGTGATTTCTGAGGGCATGCTTCATGGTTTCGAAATGCTTGGGGAGTGGCAGTCCTATTAATTCCTTTGGCCTGAAAATAAAACGTGTTTTATTTTCTTAAATGAAAAGAGGATGTAGTTAGTCCTCACAACGCCAATTAACTGATCTCATGGTTTTGTACTTCATTTAAAAATTAACAGCCGCTCTATAGCATCACCGTGGGCCCGACAGCGTTGCCACTGTAAACGGAAAAATTCAGCAGAGACATCAGGTTGGCAAAACAACCCTTCACAGCAAAACTGGCTTCCATCCATGAGCAGTTATTAGAGGAGACTTAAAATAACAACATGTGCCGCATTAATGTAGGGGCCAGGCTGAACCATTTTTGTTAAGTACCTGTGCTACTGTCCGGCCAGTTCATTTTACAGTCAAATCCTGTACAGCCTCTCACTTTTAAATAACTGCAGTCTCCTGGGGGAATTCTTTGCTAGGCCATCTGCTCATTACACAGAAATCATGCTTTCAGACCTTATGAAAAATTCTGTGCTGCCAATCATAACCCTCTGATGTCTATGCTAAACACTGTAACACAACCTGAAACAGGCAGCATGAGGAGGTGAATGACTACCCGACTGGTAAAACATTTTTAAATAATGGTTGTAAAATGGGTCACTTCTCTGAACCTTGGCTAATCTAATGGACTCAAGTAATGCAACAATTTGTGCTCTTCATTCGTCACAGGTTAAGAAATTGCAGGTGTAAGCGTCACAATTAAAGAGCAACAGGATTAGCGTGCTCTCATCAGGGGACACGCTAGACCTCATTTGCCTGGAAGTGCTGTGATCTCATTTCTAACGAGGTTTGTCATTTCAAAAGAAATTCTGGCCCTTTCATTATTAGATATTGACAAAATGCAGAGGATACCAAGCTGGGAGGGGTTGCAACTGCTTTGGAGGACAGGGTCATAATTCAAAATGATCTGGACAAACTGGAGAAATGGTCTGCAGTAAATAGGACGAAGTTTAATAAGGACAAATGGAAAGTGCTCCACTTAGGAAGGAAAAATCAGTTTCACACACAGAATGGGAAGCGGCTGTTTAGGGAGGAGTCTGGCAGAAAGAGATCTAGGGGGTCAGAGTGGACCACAAGCTAAATAGGAATCAACAGTGTGACACTTGGGGAAAAAAAGCAACCATGATTCTGGGATGCAATAGCAGGAGTGTTGTGAGTAAGACAAGAGGAGTCGTTCTTCCGCTCTACTCTGCGCTGATTAGGCCTCAGTTGGAGTATTGGGTCCAGTTTGGGGCACCACATTTCAAGAAAGATGTGGAGAAATTGGAAAGGGTTCCAGAGAAGAGCAACAAGAATAATGAAAGGTCTAGAAAACATGAGCAATCAGGGAAGACTGAAAGAACTGAGCTTGTTTAGTTTGGAGAAGAGAAGACAGAGGGGGACATGACAACAGTTTTCAGGTAACTAAAAGAGTATCACAGGGAAGAAGGGGGAGAATTGTTCTCCTTGGCCTCGGAGGATAGCACAAGAAGCAACGGGCTTAAACTGCAGCAAGGGAGATTTAGGTTGGACATTAGGAAAAACTTTCTAATTGTCACGGCGGTGAAGCACTGGAATAAATTGACTAGGGAGGTTGTG